ACTCAAACCTTTGGAAAAGATTTATCCGCCGTCACACCACCCTGATCCTTAGAACTCCCCTGAACCACCGCAGTCTTAGAATAAATCTCCGGCAGAGAATGGGACCTGATCATCTTGGGACGTTTACCATTAGATGACCATGAGGAAGTGGAGGGTGTTCTCTGTACTGGTACTTGTTTGTTGGAGTGACTGCTGCTGGATGTGCTTCCTGGTGCGGTTAATTGTCAGGCGGAGAGGGAAGTGGTACCTGAGGTGCGGTTAATTGTCAGGGTCGGAGTTTAGGGTATATAATTAAGGGTTTTAATTTAAACTGTGTACCGGTTAGGGCCCATAGGCCCTAGAGTATAATAATTTAGAAGAGAAATACTCAAGAAAAAATGATTGCAAACGCATAAACAAAGCAGCGTAATCAATGCAATAAAAACTGTTTGCAATCACACCCTATATCGTATATAAGCTATCACACCCTATATCGTATATAAGCTATATAAGCTATATAACACACCCTATATATAGGGTGTATAAGCTATATAAGCTATATAAGCTATATAAGTATATAGACCATGAGGACCTGATATAAGCTATATAAGCTATATAAGCTATATAAGCAATATAGGCTATAAAAGCTATATAAGCTAAATAAGTATATAGATATTAAGGACCCGATTCATATGTTCCATAAGTTCAACCCTTTTATTTTTCCAGTGAAAATGCAGCTTTCATAAAGCAAGAACCTTACTAAGATCCGTAAATGAACTGGGTGTACACACTGGGAGGGGGGGGGAGTCAGTACACATACGTTGGGTCTTATAACTTAGCCATGATAATTAAGACTCAAAGTATGTGCACTGACTTTTGGCCCCAGTCAGACTTAAACCTGATGTCTTGGCTGAAGGGCGAATTGGACAGTTTTCGAAACTGCTATTCGAGGATTCCCCTCTGCTGGTGTTAAAACTGTGGGCTAGGGAAATTAAAATTAGGAGTTATATTTTTAAAACTATATCGTGTTTTCTGCTCTCAAACTAGAACTTCAAATTTGAGTAAATATCCTTAATCAAATTAATACAGCTATCTAGTTTAAGTTAAAACGATTCAAAATCATAGTTTTTAATCAAAGCATTGCACTAATTCAACTTCAGGAGAACTAATTACCGGATTTGTAAGAGGTATCTGTCATGCTCATATCATCCACAACCTCCTCCTCCATTGCGGGAGTATCATCCATCATGTTAAACAGGTAATCAAAGTTAGAGATAGGCGCTGTCTGGTCAGACCAGTTCACTTGACCGTTCCAATCTCCTGCAGACAACATTGTTAGTTTCAGCTTTTAATCACTATTTAGCAGTCACGATCTGAGGATTGAGAAAGGTCGCTACACTGGAGATCGTTACAACACAGCACTGAAAACATGTCGCTTTTGCTGCTCCTCAGACACCGACGTCATGCGGTTCTTCGAAGAACTACCATTCTTTGAAACACCTATCCTTGAAACCGAGGACCACGTCATAAATGAATGCCCCAGCTACAACTCCCTCCGGTCCAACCTCTCAGACAACCTTAAAAGCCTCATAATGCTTAAAGAATATGGGGCCATCATGAACACATTCCATGCAACAGAATTTGGAAAGTACCTCACAAAATCTTTTCACCTTCGACATCCTCCTGAAAAGAAGTCCTAGTAATCTCCTCCCGTCTCCTACTCATCGTCATTAACTCATCTCCATGACTTTTTTACTTGTATTTAAATTATTATATTCGGTTTTTCTTTCGTGAAATTGTAACGCGGTTAATTTTTAAGAATTTATTTTTATATCATTCTCTCAATTTTTAGAGTTCTGATCGTCTTTATGAATTGCTGTATTACCAAGACGAGTTCGTTAGTGTTCTCCTTGGTCATTTCATGTTTAATTCCTGTTTAATTCCTGTTTAATTCCTCTCACAAAACGCATTGCAATCCAATTGGAGGAGCTTCAAATAACTCAATTGTTGAACTGCGCATTTGAGCGAATACGTACTTGCTATTATAAAAACCAATGAGAGCGCACGATTCTTTCTTGTGACTGATATTAACGAATCACGAAACCGGATCAAAATATTCGGTAATTTGTCGTCGATGGAGGTCGATGCTTTGCTCCTGTATTTGACTTCCTATAAAGATTTGTATTCATATGCATAGCTGGCTTAATTTTATTTCAGCTTTTCATTATCTATGCAGGGAAAATTATTAATTTCAGCTTTAATCACTATGTTTAAACGCACTCTTTATTGTTTTTAGTTAACCCGAACCGTTGTGTAATACCACGTAAGATGATAAAACTAAAGCTTATTTATGCAATCTTTAACAATAATCTTAAAGCTCAGTATCGCATTTATTTTAAAAATTAAGCAGATTTCTTACCGGCACTAGATAAGCAACTTATCCCTGGTATGTATTCTTTATGATTTGTGATTATCCTCCCTCCCTCCCTCCCCCCTCCCTCCCTCCCTCCCTCCCTCCCTCCCTCCCTCCCTCCCTCCCTCCCTCCCTCCCTCCCTCCCTCCCTCCCTCCCTCCCTCCCTCCCTCCCTCCCTCCCTCCCTCCCTCCCTCCCTCCCTCCCTCCCTCCCTCCCTCCCTCCCTCCCTCCCTCCCTCCCTCCCTCCCTCCCTCCCTCCCTCCCTCCCTCCCTCCCTCCCTCCCTCCCTCCCTCCCTCCCTCCCTCCCTCCCTCCCTCCCTCCCTCCCTCCCTCCCTCCCTCCCTCCCTCCCTCCCTCCCTCCCTCCCTCCCTCCCTCCCTCCCTCCCTCCCTCCCTCCCTCCCTCCCTCCCTCCCTCCCTCCCTCCCTCCCTCCCTCCCTCCCTCCCTCCCTCCCTCCCTCCCTCCCTCCCTCCCTCCCTTACATTTATGAATTCTTCTTAACTCAAAGATGTGCAATCTGCAAACCACGCAGTCTGATCATTAATGCACATCAATGATGTGCATTAATGTGATCAGATGATGATGTGAGATCATAAAAAGCAGATAGTTAACTAACAACTAAACCGCTCATCAGTCATCAGAAAATTCACTTATATAGTAACAGTAAGACACGTTTTTTATTTTCCTACACTAGCGTAATTATAATTCCATGTGGTAACCGAGGACCCAATGACTTGACTCAGGTTGCTTTTAACGTTAACAGTTTATTCTAGAACTTTCTTGCCGCCTTTTATTTACATTGATCTGTTTTTGTCGTGTGACATTCATAGTGTTACATTTTTGTAAATAAGTTGCTTTTAATTTTATGACAAATATGTCAGATATTTTTTGTTTTTGATGACGAAGGCTGTGGAATGTTCACAGCTAAATAATAAAAATAAAGAGTTAGTTAATGTGATCATAAAACGGGGACAGGGTTTTCGTTTATAATTAAGTTTTTATTGTTAACTGAAATCGGAAAGGGACATTGACATGGTCATGGTAATCATGAACGTTTTTCTTTTCCCCGTTTTGATTGATATAGTGATATGTTTTTGCTTTCTGGTGTCATGTGGGTCATACATCCTAATACCGATGGCACTGTCGCGGCACTCTTGTGGCTATCTCGTGGCAATCTCGTGGCACTATGGCGGCACTGTCGCGGCACTTGCTATATGATACCAAGTGTATCCTGCAGGAATGTTATCGCAAAGCCCATATAAGCTGATAGAATGTGACACGTCACCGCAAACTAGGATTGTAAATCAGGGGTGTAGGAAGCGGGGGGTAGGGGTACGGGGGGCCATCGCCCCCCCATGAAATCTTGGCAAGGGGCCAAAAAGGGCCAACTTTTTAATTTAGGCTTCTAAAAATTTTTGGGAAAAATTTTTAAGTCAAAATTTTGTAAGTCAAAAATTTTCAAAGTTTTTCTGGAAACTACTTTTGTTCATGTTTCATGCTACCCTGATCATTCTGAGCCGAAAATATTTTTTTCGGTTTTCGAAGTCCGCACCTACCCTTCGATATACGATTTTGGACTCGAGGGTTCCCCTTAAGGTGATGCGATCTCGGAAGGCAGGCCTCCCCTTCGCAATACGAGTTCGGAAGCGGGAGCTCTGCTTTCAGAGGTACGTATTGAGAATGACTCGTACAGTAAAGTTTCTCAGTCAAAATTTTTCAAAGTTTTCTTGGAAATTACTTTTATTCATGTTTCATGCTACCCTAATCATTCTGAGCCCAAAATATATTTTTCGGTTTTTTGAAGTCCGTACCTACATTCGGAAGGTTGTGGATGTAATACTGATTGGTTTCATAAACTAATTATAGAAAACGTGATATTTGGCCCACAGATTTGAAGGAAAATACGCGAATTTGGTCCTCAGATTTAAAGGAAAATGCGCAATTTGACGCGGAGAACTGAAAAGTGCCACCAGAGTGCCGCCATAGTGCCGCCATAGTGCCGCGACAGTGCCATGACGAGTGTCTCGACAGTGCCACGAGAGTTCTCGTTCCTTGTTGGACTCAGGAATTTGTTTGTAAACACATGTTGACGCACACAATTTTATTTTACAAGTGTCAAAAACTACAAAAACAGAAATCTCACTCTTCTGGATCAAAAATTAACTAATTGTCACGAAGTAAAGCTTATTACTCACAGGTCACCTGTCACTAAAAGAATGAGCCTGACGTTTAAGGACGGGACGGTTCTGGATTTCCAGAACCAGGATGCACTTCTTGAGTACATTAGGGTAACAGCAGACACAGCTAGTACTGCTTACTCCATGGACACCTTCTGGCTCATCATCTGTGCTGGAATGGTCTTCCTTATGCAGGTACTGTTACCACTAACCACCCTGATATTCTTTAGTTTCAAGTAACCACCCTGATATTCTTTAGTTTCAAGTAACCAATACTGTAACCATGACCCTGATATTCTTTAGTTTCAAGTAACCACCCTGATATTCTTTAGTTTCAAGTAACCACCCTGATATTCTTTAGTTTCAAGTAACCACCCTGATATTCTTTAGTTTCAAGTAACCACCCTGATATTCTTTAGTTTCAAGTAACCAATACTGTAACCACCCTGATATTCTTTAGTTTCAAGTAACCACCCTGATATTCTTTAGTTTCAAGTTACCAATACTGTAACCACCCTGATATTCTTTAGTTTCAAGTAACCAATACTGTAACCACCCTGATATTCTTTAGTTTCAAGTAACCAATACTGTAACCACCCTGATATTCTTTAGTTTCAAGTAACCAATACTGTAACCATGACCCTGATATTCTTTAGTTTCAAGTAACCACCCTGATATTCTTTAGTTTCGAGTAACCACCCTGATATTCTTTAGTTTCAAGTAACCATGACCCTGATATTCTTTAGTTTCAAGTAACCATGACCCTGATATTCTTTAGTTTCAAGTAACCAATACTGTAACCACCCTGATATTCTTTAGTTTCAAGTAACCACCCTGATATTCTTTAGTTTCAAGTAACCACCCTGATATTCTTTAGTTTCAAGTAACCATGACCCTGATATTCTTTAGTTTCAAGTAACCAATACTGTAACCACCCTGATATTCTTTAGTTTCAAGTAACCACCCTGATATTCTTTAGTTTCAAGTAACCAATGCTGTTACCACCCTGATATTCTTTAGTTTCAAGTAACCAATGCTGATCGGTTCCGATGACGCTTTGAGTATAATTGTCAGTATACACTATTATAGACTTTAATTGGACGCTGGGGCCTTCTTTTTTATAATGTGAATGTCTATCCATAATGACAAACATATGTTCAGGGTGCTTCCTACACCCCTGCATATGTTCAGCGTGCTTCCTACACCCCTGCATATGTTCAGGGTGCTTCCTACACCCCTGCATATGTTCAGGGTGCTTCCTACACCCCTGCATATGTTCAGGGTGCTTCCTACACCCCTGCATCTGTTCAGGGTGCTTCCTACACCCCTGTATATGTTCAGGGTGCTTCCTACACCCCTGTATATGTTCTATCACAAAACGTTTATCTCTCAGATGGGATTTGCTTTGGTGGAGGTTGGCACTGTCAGGATAAAGAACACTAAGAACATTCTGGTAAAGAACATGCTCGATGCTTGTATTGGAGCTCTCTCTTTCTGGCTTATTGGTTTCGCTCTAGCTTTTGGAGACACCACTTCCGGATTCATAGGTATACATATTTATATATGATTCTTTATTCTAACACATGCATGAAGGATAACTGTAAAACTCATAAATTACAAAATGATATTTAGTCCATTGATCCAATGACATTGATAACGTTGATGATTAAATATTCCTCTTAAGCAATGTCATTTACAGGAACGAACGGTTTTGCATTAAAAACTTTAGACATGCGGCGAGGAGGAGAGTTCAATGACAGACCTTACCAAGGAAAAAAATACGCTCTTTTCCTCTTCCAGTGGGCATTTGCTGCCACAGCAGCTACTATAGTTTCTGGTAACTATACTGCTATGAGCATCACTTGAAACTACGATTGCAAAGATTTTATCTCTTGACCTACTCTATAATGAATATGGCCCTAAAATTGTACGTGTTCAGGAGCTGTGGCAGAGAGGTGTAAAGTAATTGCTTACTTTGTTTACTCCTTTGTACTGACTGTGTTCGTCTACCCTGTAGTAGTACACTGGGGATGGTCCGACAGTGAGTCTTACTACTTTCTTAAGTTTTAACATTCTTGGCCATATTTTTGCTGGCCTCAGTTTGTTTGAAAAAGAAAAAAAATCGGGCTTATGCCTAATTTACGTGTCACATCTACGCTTATGAAATCTTGATAACGGTCTGAGGCACTACTTATTACAGACGGTTGGGCCTCAGCGTTTGCTCCGAAGGAAGACAGATTGTTCGGGGTGGGAGTTATAGACTTTGCTGGAAGTTCTGTTGTCCACATGGTCGGAGGACTGACCGCTCTGATTGGTGCTATCTTCCTGGGACCTCGCTCCGGTAAAATTGTTGAGGGTAAAGTTCAAACCATGGTCTTCCAATCTTCTACTTTTCAAACTCTGGGGACGCTAGTTTTATGGTTCGGATGGTAGGTCTTTAAAAACTACATACTTCTTCGATTAATTAATTTTACCCCACAATTGCTAAGCAGCTTTCGTTCACTTATGTTATCTGATACAATGCGAGCTCTTACTTTACGAAATGCCTTTCGTGATTTACCTCCCTCAGAACCCCCCATTATTCTTTACCATCATCCCTTATTTCCTCTTATTACTATATCTTATTAGCTCTTATTGCCTCTCATCACCCCTTATTTCTAGGTATGGGTTTAACTGTGGCAGTACTCTTACCATAGCTGGTGCTGCATCAGATGTTGCTGGTAAAGTTGCCGTTACAACTACCATAGGAGCTGCCAGTGCTGGTAAAATTATTATGTTTCTTTAAATATCTTGCTCTTAAAGTCATCAATAGATTTACGATCATATCATTTATATGTTTCATAAATATTACCTACTTAACATTTGATCTATTTTAATTCTGTAATTTTTTAGGTGTAACAGCAACTCTGATGGGGGTTATTTTCGAGGGACATATCAATATTGGCAGAACAAATAATGGTAAGCATCTTTAATTAATGTATGACTATTGTACTCCCCCGTAAATGTATAACTATAAAGTATAACCACATCTAAAATAACCCCTATATTTTATACAATGAGTTGATAAAGGCATTCAGATAATTTCTTGTCAAGGAATTTTGGCGGGACTGGTGAGCATCACAGCTGGTTGCTCTGTGGTAGATGTGGAAATGGCATTTCTTATCGGAGTTATTGGCGGCATCGTCTATTACTCTGCTTCAAAGGTACAACTAACAACATGACTAACAGTCAACAACAGTTAACATTTCAACAACAAGTTGCATTATATTATTTCTTATGGATCAGCTCATCATAATTCTCAAACGATACTGAAAGTGAAAGAACGCAATGCTGTTCCTCAGGGATGCGTTCTTGGCCCCCTTTAACTCTGCATCTCCCTCAGCTGTTAACGTGTTTGCACATTGATCTATTGATGACGTAGTGGACGCCTGCCTAGTGCACCTGTTCTATCTTAACCTAATTATGTAAAGTAATCATGTAATTAATCTCCCTCAGCTGTTAACATGTCTACACATTGATGACGTAGTGGATGCCTCCCCAGTTCACTTGTTCTGTGGAATATGGGGTACCATAGCTGCAGGGTTGTTTGCAAAGCCAGAGAATGTGGAAATGGCGTATGGTACTGGCAGTTGTGGTCTTTTCTATAAGGTCTCACCTTTAATATTATTTGTAATCTAATTTAAATTATGGGAAATTATGTTGTTGAAACTTTGTTTTAAGATCAAAGCCGTTACAGAATTAATCATTATTTCAGTGCGATGGAAATGGAGGCAAACAGTTCGGAGCAAATTTAGTGTTTATCCTCGCAGTTATTGCATGGGTCGGCATTTTCGCTATCATCATCTTCAGCATCTTGCAAGTTAGTTAAAAAACTTTCACGTTGCCTTTATTTTTGTTTTTCATTGCCAACAATCAGTGTTAAGATTGTGAAAAGCATATTTTATCTCTATATCTACGACTACAGTTCATCAGTGTTAATACAATACTTAAAACAGTCATAAAAGGTACTGAAAAATAAGCTGATCACATTTCTGTTTTATAAACCCTGAGCTCTCCCAGATAAACTGAACATGTTACTTTTATAAACCCTAACCACGTGCTCCCCCACGTGCTCCCCACGTGCTCCCCACGTGCTCCCCACGTGCTCCCCACGTGCTCCCCACGTGCTAACCACGTGCTCCCCACGTGCTCCCCACGTGCTCCCCACGTGCTAACCACGTGCTAACCACGTGCTCCCCACGTGCTCCCCACGTGCTCCCCACGTGCTAACCACGTGCTAACCACGTGTTAACCACGTGCTAACCACGTGCTAACCACGTGTTAACCACGTGCTAACCACGTGCTAACCACGTGCTAACCACGTGTTAACCACGTGCTAACCACGTGCTAACCACGTGCTCCCTCAGATACTGAACATGTTACGAGTATCAGAGGAGACGGAGAAAATGGGTCTGGATGTAAAGGAGCACGGTGGGGCCGCGTACGAGGTGACAAGGAAATCTCGTTTCAGTGGGGGGAACTACAAACTTTCCACTCCAGAGGTTGTAGTGAATAAAACAGCTAGCAAAGACGTGTAGAACAATATCATGTGGCATCATACTCGTATATTTTCCTTACTGTATCTTGTTCTTTTTTATTCTTTTATTACTAATGGTAGATTTTAATTGTTGATATTGTTTCAAAATAAATTCTGCCGGCAGAACTATTACTTTATTAGTTTGGCTTCATTTTATTTCATCTCAATAAAATTTTTCTAACTAAGGTTTTGTCAAAATCACAAAATTGCTTTTGACGTATTGAACGGAAAGACCAAATTTTTATAAAATTGTAGTTATACATATTTTTGTTTGTGACCGAAGAATCACTGTCATTAATGAAACTGATTTTAGTTCACCCAACCAGCATTTTCATGCTCCTTGTGATAGAAAGAAATTGAAACCAAACGGGCTAGTTACAGGAAGTTACAAAGGAGAGCTCGAACAAGACAACCAATAAAATATAACTAAAGTAATAACAGCAAAATAATAGATTTAATTAATTATTTAAATAATAAAAACTAAAATAGTACCCAAATTAGCGTGAGTAACGCCCAGGAAACGAGGGGGAACTTGCACTGTCGTGTCACTAGCGGCAAATCCTAGGTTGTACAGGATATCTGTTGCTGTCATTGGTAGACTGAAATATTTTCATATGTTATTATTTATTGTTAGATATTAAAAAAAATGTTTGGATGAACACGTGAAAAATGGGTTGTTAAAATAGATACTTCAAATTAATTATTTATAGCGCGTCTATTTAGTTTTTTTCCGATCCATGAACTTTTGTTCATTTGATGATTTTTTAAATAATTTGCATTTTAGAATGTAGAAGTTGAAAGAATTTTTTGCTTCAATTAACTTAATAGTAATACCTACAATTATACAGTAGTAAATATTGTTATTTAGGGTCGTATAAGTCGGATTATATCGAGAAACTTAGCGGACGTCCCAATGTGCGGGACTTTTGCCAGGTAGAGGATTAATATACACCCTCACTCTCAAAAGCTTTAGGGAGTTCTTGAGAGCCAGGGGTAAGTTCCTGTTGGCTCCTCTCCTGAGAAGTTACCCTACAACTGGATCAGGAGATGAATTTTAATAATGATATAAGAATAAATCATAAATGTATGTTAATTGTCGATTAATTATAATAGCCGTCCTTAATTCATTGGTTTGGATTTATTAATTTAATGTAATCACAATATAACTTACAAAGTACTAGTAAAGTCGGAGCTTAGTTTAGCATAAGTTCCCTGCGTTAAGAGATCCAGCAGGGTGGGAGGCGGGACACCTTGCTCCCTCAACAACAGCTCCTGTTCCTGAGCCAGCTTTCTCATATCCATATATGGTAATGTATCTATAACTATAACATATCCATATATGGTAATGTATCTATAACTATAACATATCCATATATGGTAATGTATCTATGGTAACGTTACCTTATATGGTAATGTATCTATAGTTAGGTTACCTTATTTGGTGCTTCCTTATTTCCATGTCTTCATCAAAACGAAATATATAGCACCATATAAGGTAATGTTAACATAGTTGCACTACCATATAAGGTAACGTTACCATAGTTAAACTACCATATAAGGCAAAACAAACAGAGGGCAAAAAATTGGCCAAGAAATAAAAATGTTAGTGCGCAAAATTTGGACCCCCAGGTGGTGCCAAAAACGCGAATTAAATAGCTTATAATAATAAGGCTGTGCGGGACTCTCCCATACGCATTCATAAGGTCAATCCAGATCACGTGGACTTGTCTTCTGGGGCTTTTATTATCTATTTAACTCGCGTTTTTGACACCACTTGGGGGTCGAAATTGTGGGCTCTCAAATTCCTATTCCTTGCCAATTTCATATTTTTTCATGCTGATTTGAAGGCCATTAAAGCATTTGACCCAGTCAAAAAAGTTTCAGTTGTACCGTATATATTTTACGGTTTTTGCGGAAATTCGCGTTAAAGTTGATCATGATGCCGAGGTGTCAGTAAAATGGTACGGATAAACACACATATCTATATATCGTCTAGCTATAGTAAGATATACGCATAAGTGTCCTCAAGGGAGCAATCGCTTGCAACCTAAAACATATGTAAATCAAAGCTTTCAACTTTCTAACACTGTTCAAACTAAAGAACCTAAAACAAATAAAAATACAATTTTTCAACTTTCTGCTCGAACTAAAGAACCAACATCAAACCACGTGCGGGCCAAACTTTAAATTAATCTCAAAACTCTGAATAAGTTATAACTCTATAACATAGTTGGGAGGTATAACTCCCAATTACAAATTTATAAGGTATTTACCCTTGGTTAATTACTTAAACTGAGAATATACCTATTATGGAATTTATCAAAGGAAATTTTGAAGAGAACAAAAGATAAATTTAGCGAAATGATCGCGTAAGAGTTATTATGGAGGTTACAACTCAAGAAATGTAGTGAAACATAATATCCTCTGTTCACATGATAATACTATTACCGTAACAATATACATGCCTGTTACCCTGGAGACGGTACTAGGAGTAGGATCAGATATACACTCTGCTACTGGAGTATACACCAGACCACGTCTTGGTACAGTTATTCATTTATTTATTTGTGGGTATGATCCTTTTTTGATTTTGTTATGATTAGTAGTTTTAAGTTTGTTCTTTATTGGTGCATCTTATGCAGTTGAGACGACTGATTCACGTATAGTACCATAGTTACCATAGTTATACAACCATATAAGGCAATACAGCGTCAAAGTGGCGACTCATTGTTAGGCAAATTATAACAAAGATGAAATCAATTAAGTAATTAAAATCAGATAATTTCAGGTAATTTTCAAGTAATTTCAATTATTGTCATTATCTTATTTTATACTTGTACTTATTTATTTTAAAGGTAGATCAGGTAATTTCAGATTTACCGCAATAATTCCATGATTTGTAATCTGCTGTAAAATTGGTAAAGTTGCTACACGTGAAAACTTAAATTGTAGTTCTTTTATTCAAATTTCTGATTGTTTCTGAATAGACTCAGTGAAGACAGATTCTAATGGAAATAAATAGCTGAATAACGTATCGACATTTCTACGTCATACTCATATTCTGAAATAGTATCAATTCAATTATAACGATCAATATTCACATTAAAAATTTGACGACGAAATTTATTTCAAACAAAATATATAACTGTAAAATAGTTATCAACCGTAAATAGTTTTTAACGAAATCGGAGCAAATATGAACATAAAACTGACAACATTTATCAAATAGGGCTCATCTGAAAATTAACGAATAGCGTGACGTTATACAGGAGATAAAAGATTAAAAGAGATAAAAGAATTAAACGAGAATATTACTATTTACACGTCACTCAACTAAAAACTGTGTTAGATTGTTCAACTCTGTTCTATCGTTGAGTGTTGGTTTATTTTCAACTAAAAATCGGGCTTCTTTAATCTTTCTGTTGATGAGTGATGTTCCTCTATCTACGATTTGAAGTTTAAGTTTTGGGGGGCCTTTGTGCTGAGGGTGACTTTCCCTGTAGTGCTTTGCTAGTGGCTTATCTTCGTAAGATTTTGCTGTTGGATTTGCCGCACTACGGTAATGCTCGTCGAACCTGCACTTGATCGGTCTGTATGTTTCCCCACCATAGTTCTCGGTACAATTGTCTACTTCGCAAGTGATGTGGTAGACGGTATTAGTTGTGGTGCATTCTCCATCGGTTAAAGCTGCGCATGTTCTGCAGTTTGATGTTGTACAGGATTTCTTGTCAAGGGGTCTGGAGTCTGTAAGGAGATCCTTCAGTTTCCGTCCAGGTTTCTCGACACTTTTGATGGGGAGTCCAATATGTCTGACAGCATCTCTGTATTTGCGACTAGTAGCTTCGTTGACATAGGGTAGTTTGAGAATCGCTCCGTCTTGGTCTTTGTTCTGTACGTTCTGATTAATTCTCTTTCTACGTTTTCTCTTGTTCTTTATGGTTTCTAAGACTCTATCAGTGTAGCCGTTGTTGATGAGAAGTTTATCTATCATCTTTTCTGAGTACTTCTCGTTTTCTCTGTTGTTAGAGACTGCCTTTGCGGTGTTGTACATACTCTCAACAGTAGCATTCTTTGTACGTGTTGTATGATGAGAGTTGTAGTGGAGGGTGAGTGGCTTTTTCTGTGGTTTTCTGTAGAGTCTAGAATGTACTATTCCATCTGAGTCGATCTTTATTTCCGTGTTGAGGAAGGGAACAAAGTCGTTCTGATTGTCAGGGTAGTCTACAGTTAGTTTGATAAGTTTGTCAGGATCTTGTTGTTCGATGAGGTTGCACAGTTGCTGAGCTTTTCGTCTGTTGGTGGTGGCTCCGTTTAGATCGTCGTAAAACCTGCTGTAGGTGGGCAGTGTTATCCTCAGGTCTACGTAGACTGAAAGTTTTTCCAGTTTCCACATTTTGACAGTAGCTAGTATAGGTGCAGGGTTGGTTCCCATGAACAATCCAAGAAGCTGTAGGTAGACTTGATTGTTGTAGACAAAATATGACTTTCCTAGGGTTGTCTCTAGTAGTTCTTGTAAATCAGAGAGATGGAGACCGTATGTACTGATTGACTGTCTATTTTCTTTGGCAAATTCCATGACATCTTCTATTGCTGTTAGTACGTTGATATTGGTGTATAAAGCTTCGACGTCTGCTGTAAAGAAAGTAAGACTCTTCAGATCATTTGGTGTGATGTTTCTAATCCTTCGAAGAAAATCGTGAGTGTTTTTCAAATGAGAAGGTACTAGATTCATCAGAGGAGATAGAATGTGACAGACGAACCAAAGGATTTTGTGGAAAGGGGAGTTGCAGCCTGAAACAATAGGTCTAGTTTTCATTGTGTCAGGGTTAAGAGTCTTGATCTCATCACTTGTGTATTTGTGGGTTTTAAGCATCACTCTTGCAGTAGCGAGGGTGGTGTGATGGCTCATTAACAGGTTAGTAACATCTTGAGGGAGATTACGACTCTTGGCAATGTTCTTGAATGTTGAGTTAACATCGTCTTCTAGAGTTTTAGTTAACTTGTTTATGTACTTTTGTTTGCCCAGTTTATCCTGTGGTATGTCGATCTTCTTGTAGACGTTTCCATTGTTGAGGTGAGTTGTAGTTGTCCTGATGTGATCTTCTTTAGGCATTACTACAAACTCTGCTGTTTTGAGCCATCACACCACCCTCGCTACTGCAAGAGTGATGCTTAAAACCCACAAATACACAAGTGATGAGATCAAGACTCTTAACCCTGACACAATGAAAACTAGACCTATTGTTTCAGGCTGCAACTCCCCTTTCCACAAAATCCTTTGGTTCGTCTGTCACATTCTATCTCCTCTGATGAATCTAGTACCTTCTCATTTGAAAAACACTCACGATTTTCTTCGAAGGATTAGAAACATCACACCAAATGATCTGAAGAGTCTTACTTTCTTTACAGCAGACGTCGAAGCTTTATACACCAATATCAACGTACTAACAGCAATAGAAGATGTCATGGAATTTGCCAAAGAAAATAGACAGTCAATCAGTACATACGGTCTCCATCTCTCTGATTTACAAGAACTACTAGAGACAACCCTAGGAAAGTCATATTTTGTCTACAACAATCAAGTCTACCTACAGCTTCTTGGATTGTTCATGGGAACCAACCCTGCACCTATACTAGCTACTGTCAAAATGTGGAAACTGGAAAAACTTTCAGTCTACGTAGACCTGAGGATAACACTGCCCACCTACAGCAGGTTTTACGACGATCTAAACGGAGCCACCACCAACAGACGAAAAGCTCAGCAACTGTGCAACCTCATCGAACAACAAGATCCTGACAAACTTATCAAACTAACTGTAGACTACCCTGACAATCAGAACGACTTTGTTCCCTTCCTCAACACGGAAATAAAGATCGACTCAGATGGAATAGTACATTCTAGACTCTACAGAAAACCACAGAAAAAGCCACTCACCCTCCACTACAACTCTCATCATACAACACGTACAAAGAATGCTACTGTTGAGAGTATGTACAACACCGCAAAGGCAGTCTCTAACAACAGAGAAAACGAGAAGTACTCAGAAAAGATGATAGATAAACTTCTCATCAACAACGGCTACACTGATAGAGTCTTAGAAACCATAAAGAACAAGAGAAAACGTAGAAAGAGAATTAATCAGAACGTACAGAACAAAGACCAAGACGGAGCGATTCTCAAACTACCCTATGTCAACGAAGCTACTAGTCGCAAATACAGAGATGCTGTCAGACATAGTGGACTCCCCATCAAAATTGTCGAGAAACCTGGACGGAAACTGAAGGATCTCCTTACAGACTCCAGACCCCTTGACAAGAAATCCTGTACAACATCAAACTGCAGAACATGCGCAGCTTTAACCGATGGAGAATGCACCACAACTAATACCGTCTACCACATCACTTGCGAAGTAGACAATTGTACCGAGAACTATGGTGGGGAAACATACAGACCGATCAAGTGCAGGTTCGACGAGCATTACCGTAGTGCGGCAAATCCAACAGCAAAATCTTACGAAGATAAGCCACTAGCAAAGCACTACAGGGAAAGTCACCCTCAGCACAAAGGCCCCCCAAAACTTAAACTTCAAATCGTAGATAGAGGAACATCACTCATCAACAGAAAGATTAAAGAAGCCCGATTTTTAGTTGAAAATAAACCAACACTCAACGATAGAACAGAGTTGAACAATCTAACACAGTTTTTAGTTGAGTGACGTGTAAATAGTAATATTCTCGTTTAATTCTTTTATCTCTTTTAATCTTTTATCTCCTGTATAACGTCACGCTATTCGTTAATTTTCAGATGAGCCCTATTTGATAAATGTTGTCAGTTTTATGTTCATATTTGCTCCGATTTCGTTAAAAACTATTTACGGTTGATAACTATTTTACAGTTATATATTTTGTTTGAAATAAATTTCGTCGTCAAATTTTTAATGTGAATATTGATCGTTATAATTGAATTGATACTATTTCAGAATATGAGTATGACGTAGAAATGTCGATACGTTATTCAGCTATTTATTTCCATTAGAATCTGTCTTCACTGAGTCTATTCAGAAACAATCAGAAATTTGAATAAAAGAACTATCAAATCATGAGACTCAAAAACACTACACGAATCCACCAGATTACTTAAATTGTAATTAAGATAGAAATGCCGACTACCATGTGTGTCGAACTTTGGATAGTTAACTCAAATAGTTGCTCGGATGTAGAATCTGAATATAGATTCATGTAGATTCGACCGGGTGTTTGAGTGAGAATTGCCAGGGATTAGAGATAGACAGATAGACCCGCTGGCAATATTATTGCATTAGAATATAGATACATATAGAGATCAATAATTGACAATGTGGAATAATTCTTGCGTTATATGTAAGTCTTTTTTTACTATTACAAATGCATATTGCATAAGCTATTATTATTTGCAAAAATTGTCTTAAAAAACAAAATTATGAGCTGATCGATCCTGAAACTGCAGAGAAGCCGTTTCATTAAAAAATCCAGTTTGTCGCCATATACCACAAAGTGTCAGATCAAAAAGTTTTTAAATAAAATTAGTAACTTAGTAACGAGATAATAAACCTGTCGAGGGCGTTGTTTACTCCGTCAACGTTTGCTATGCTGCTCAACTGTGAGAACGAACTCAGTGCCTGAAAATCACGTGATTTTAATTTTGGGTGTTTTTCATAATTAATAAGTTAATTACAGTTGGAAATATGCGAGACTCATTTTATTGACGATGCAATTTCGTTATAATAAGAAATTAAGCATCAGATAATTATCATATTCTATTGTGTTCATATTCGGCGCATTTGTTCGAGGGACAATAGATTAAGCTGAATAGGTTTCATAAAATTCACCAAGGGTCAGCTACAGCAAGCGATGCATATTAAATAGTTGATGATTTTTATCAATCGTTATTTTGTTCCGAAAATTATCTAAAAATCATGAATCAGTTTAAGCTAAGTTAGGAAATACACAATAGCATTCAATAATAACTTATTTCATGTAATATAATATTGTCAATAAGAATTACAATAAGATTAGCTTCCAGTTCCGTGCAATTAACAGTAAGATCAGTATTCAGTCAATAATAAGTTCAGCCTGAATCGTTTGCAAATAATCACGATGTAAACAATCATGATGTAAAGAATAAAGCTGCAAAAAATCTGCAAGCTGTAAAGTTTCTACAGCAACCCCTCTCAAATCAGTAGCCTCCAATCAGGGGTGTATGTGCCTCCAATGCTATCACAAGTACCGTTATGACATCTCAACTACTGCATTGTATACCCAGCAAGGATTATATATGTGCCGACAAAGCAAGAAACAGGAAAAACTACATGCTTGCAGCGTGAGCAGACGACAAGCTTAAACAGTGAGGAATATAGCGCCATATAATGTAACGTTACCATAGTTACACTAGTACTACCGTATAAGGCAATAAATGCAGATAGCACGAGGGCAAAGTGCAATGGCCAGCTGCTGCAGGATATAGCACCATATAATGTTATGTTACCATGGTTACCTTCAAATTAGCCCCATTAGCAGTCCAATCAGGGGTACACGTGTGGTACTTCATCAGCTCATTTAACTGACATCTACTACCGTAACTACTCTCCGCTGAACTCAACCCCGGCATCTTGGATTCCTATAGGGTCGTGAGGGGTGGCCGTTATTATCTTATTGGGTCGTGAGGGGACGGCCGTTATTATCCTATAGGGTCGTGAGGGGACGGCCGTTATTATCCTATAGGGTCGTGAGGGGACGGCCGTTATTATCCTATAGGGTCGTGAGGGGTCGGCCGTTATTATCCTATAGGGTCGTAAGGGTTGGCCGTTATTATCTTATAGGGTCGTGAGGGGACGGCCGTTATTATCTTATAGGGTCGTAAGGGTTGGCCGTTATTATCCTATAGGGTCGTGAGGGGTGGCCGTTATTATCCTATAGGGTCGTAAGGGTTGGCCGTTATTATCTTATAGGGTCGTGAGGGGTGGCCGTTATTATCCTATAGGGTAGTAAGGGTTGGCCGTTATTATCTTATAGGGTCGTGAGGGGACGGCCGTTATTATCTTATAGGGTCGTAAGGGTTGGCCGTTATTATCTTATTGGGTCGTGAGGGGACGGCCGTTATTATCTTATTGGGTCGTGAGGGGTGGCCGTTATTATCCTATAGGGTCGTAAGGGTTGGCCGTTATTATCTTATAGGGTCGTGAGGGGTGGCCGTTATTATCCTATAGGGTCGTAAGGGTTGGCCGTTATTATCTTATAGGGTCGTGAGGGGACGGCCGTTATTATCTTATAGGGTCGTAAGGGTTGGCCGTTATTATCTTATTGGGTCGTGAGGGGACGGCCGTTATTATCTTATTGGGTTGTGAGGGGTGGCCGTTATTATCCTATAGGGTCGTAAGGGTTGGCCGTTATTATCTTATAGGGTCGTGAGGGGACGGCCGTTATTATCTTATAGGGTCGTAAGGGTTGGCCGTTATTATCCTATAGGGTCGTGAGGGGACGGCCGTTATTATCTTATTGGGTCGTGAGGGGTAGCCGTTATTATCCTATAGGGTCGTGAGAGTAGGCCGTTATTATTTTATTGGGTCGTGAGGGGACGGCCGTTATTATCCTATAGGGTCGTGAGGGGACGGCCGTTATTATCCTATAGGGTCGTGAGGGGACGGCCGTTATTATCCTATAGGGTCGTGAGGGGTGGCCGTTATTATCCTATAGGGTCGTGAGGGGTGGCCGTTATTATCTTATTGGGTCGTGAGGGGTGGCCGTTATTATCTTATTGGGTCGTGAGGGGTGGCCGATATTATCTTATAGGGTCGTGAAGGGTGGCCGTTATTATCTTATAGGGTCGTGAGGGGTGGCCGTTATTATCCTATAGGGTCGTGAGGGGTGGCCGTTATTATCTTATTGGGTCGTGAGGGGTGGCCGTTATTATCTTATAGGGTCGTGAGGGGTGGCCGTTATTATCTTATAGGGTCGTGAGGGGACGGCCGTTATTATCCTATAGGGTCGTGAGGGGACGGCCGTTATTATCCTATAGGGTCGTGAGGGGACGGCCGTTATTATCCTATAGGGTCGTGAGGGGTCGGCCGTTATTATCCTATAGGGTCGTAAGGGTTGGCCGTTATTATCTTATAGGGTCGTGAGGGGACGGCCGTTATTATCTTATAGGGTCGTAAGGGTTGGCCGTTATTATCCTATAGGGTCGTGAGGGGTGGCCGTTATTATCCTATAGGGTCGTAAGGGTTGGCCGTTATTATCTTATAGGGTCGTGAGGGGTGGCCGTTATTATCCTATAGGGTCGTAAGGGTTGGCCGTTATTATCTTATAGGGTCGTGAGAGGACGGCCGTTATTATCTTATAGGGTCGTAAGGGTTGGCCGTTATTATCTTATTGGGTCGTGAGGGGACGGCCGTTATTATCTTATTGGGTCGTGAGGGGTGGCCGTAATTATCCTATAGGGTCGTAAGGGTTGGCCGTTATTATCTTATAGGTTCGTGAGGGGTGGCCGTTATTATCCTATAGGGTCGTAAGGGTTGGCCGTTATTATCTTATAGGGTCGTGAGGGGACGGCCGTTATTATCTTATAGGGTCGTAAGGGTTGGCCGTTATTATCTTATTGGGTCGTGAGGGGACGGCCGTTATTATCTTATTGGGTTGTGAGGGGTGGCCGTTATTATCCTATAGGGTCGTAAGGGTTGGCCGTTATTATCTTATAGGGTCGTGAGGGGACGGCCGTTATTATCTTATAGGGTCGTAAGGGTTGGCCGTTATTATCCTATAGGGTCGTGAGGGGACGGCCGTTATTATCTTATTGGGTCGTGAGGGGTAGCCGTTATTATCCTATAGGGTCGTGAGAGTAGGCCGTTATTATTTTATTGGGTCGTTAGGGGACGGCCGTTATTATCCTATAGGGTCGTGAGGGGACGGCCGTTATTATCCTATAGGGTCGTGAGGGGACGGCCGTTATTATCCTATAGGGTCGTGAGGGGTGGCCGTTATTATCCTATAGGGTCGTGAGGGGTGGCCGTGATTATCTTATTGGGTCGTGAGGGGTGGCCGTTATTATCTTATTGGGTCGTGAGGGGACGGCCGTTATTATCTTATTGGGTCGTGAGGGGACGGCCGTTATTATCTTATTGGGTCGTGAGGGGACGGCCGTTATTATATTATTGGGTCGTGAGGGGTGGCTGTTATTATCTTATAGGGTCGTGAGGGGTGGCTGTTATTATATTATAGGGTCGTGAGGGGTGGCCGTTATTATTTTATTGGGTCGTGAGGGGACGGCCGTTATTATCCTATAGGGTCGTGAGGGGACGGCCGTTATTATCCTATAGGGTCGTGAGGGGACGGCCGTTATTATCCTATAGGGTCGTGAGGGGTGGCCGTTATTATCCTATAGGGTCGTGAGGGGACGGCCGTTATTATCCTATAGGGTCGTGAGGGGTGGCCGTTATTATCCTATAGGGTCGTGAGGGGTGGCCGTTATTATCTTATTGGGTCGTGAGGGGTGGCCGTTATTATCTTATTGGGTCGTGAGGGGTGGCCGTTATTATCTTATTGGGTCGTGAGGGGTGGCCGTTATTATCTTATAGGGTCGTGAAGGGTGGCCGTTATTATCTTATAGGGTCGTGAGGGGTGGCCGTTATTATCCTATAGGGTCGTGAGGGGTGTCCGTTATTATCTTATTGGGTCGTGAGGGGTGGCCGTTATTATCTTATAGGGTCGTGAGGGGTGGCCGTTATTATCTTATAGGGTCGTGAGGGGTGGCCGTTATTATCCTATAGGGTCGTGAGGGGTGGCCGTTATTATCCTATAGGGTCGTGAGGGGTGGCCGTTATTATCTTATTGGGTCGTGAGGGGTGGCCGTTATAATCTTATAGGGTCGTGAGGGGTGGCCGTTATTATCCTATAGGGTCGTGAGGGGTGGCCGTTATTATCCTATAGGGTGGTGAGGGGTGGCCGTTATTATCCTATAGGGTCGTGAGGGGTGGCCGTTATTATCTTATAGGGTCGTGAGGCCGTAAGGGGTGGCCGTTATTATCTTATAGGGTCGTGAGGGGTGGCCGTTATTATCTTATAGGGTCGTGAGGGGTGGCCGTTATTATCCTATAGGGTCGTGAGGGGTGTCCGTTATTATCTTATTGGGTCGTGAGGGGTGGCCGTTATTATCTTATAGGGTCGTGAGGGGTGGCCGTTATTATCTTATAGGGTCGTGAGGGGTGGCCGTTATTATCCTATAGGGTCGTGAGGGGTGTCCGTTATTATCTTATTGGGTCGTGAGGGGTGGCCGTTATTATCTTATAGGGTCGTGAGGGGTGGCCGTTATTGTCTTATAGGGTCGTGAGGGGTGGCCGTTATTATCCTATAGGGTCGTGAGGGGTGGCCGTTATTATCCTATAGGGTCGTGAGGGGTGGCCGTTATTATCTTATTGGGTCGTGAGGGGTGGCCGTTATAATCTTATAGGGTCGTGAGGGGTGGCCGTTATTATCCTATAGGGTCGTGAGGGGTGGCCGTTATTATCTTATTGGGTCGTGAGGGGTGGCCGTTATCATCTGATAGGGTCGTGAGGGGTGGCCGTTATTATCTTATAGGGTCGTGAGGGGTGGCCGTTATTATCCTATAGGGTCGTGAGGGGTGGCT